AAGCAATAAATCCAAGCTATCGCGTCTCTTCGCCGCGTCGTAATGCCAGGAACGTATGGAACAGCGTGTATCCCTGGGCGCGACGTGAGGGTGCGGAAGGGGCGATTTTCTTATCGAGTCGTGACGGGGACAGCCATGGCTCAGAGCGTGGACACTCAACGGCAGCTTGTCAGCGAGCGTGTCGCGGCAGAGATCCGAATGACAGGCAGTTCCAAGAACGAGAACACCGTGTTGACGAGTTGAGACCAGCCAAAAGAAGCAGAGGTGGGATGGGATGGAATGGGATGCTTTTAGGTGCCGTGGTGGATGCCCGAGGGATCCGATGCCACTGAACCAAAAGAAGGGACAGGGTGATGGGGAATCATCAAGCGCTAACCAAGCCTGGGGCTATCTCTCCGCATCGTGTAGTCGTGATTACCAAGCCAAGGGGGCCGACCCCAAATGCACTCCCCGGATTCTGACAAGAGGCACAAGAAGCAATACACTCGAGCAACATGAAACCTGCAAAATCACAGTTACCGTGGGTGTTGCATCACAGCGCAGCCCAAGACAACTAGCCGACAGCAACGCGCGAGCCAATGAGATGCGTTGTCGCAACTGCAGGCCGATGCCAACTGAGGTGTCCATGACGCAGCTCCAGTCGGCACGGGGTCAATGGTTGTGCTCCTAGCTCCGGTTGGCTGCTAGTCCCCCACGCTGGGCCGCGACGGGAAGGACGCGCTGTGGCTGCGTGCCTGATTTGGGGGCCAAGTTGGGGACGGAGCGGGATTCGGGGTGTGGACAGCATCGCAGATCGCGGGCATTGGGGGCTGACAAAGCATGAATGGGACTGAACTTGAAGCCTGTATGCTCAGGCCGAAAGACTGCTTGCCTTGCAACTCTTGCCTTTGAGATCCCTGCACGGCTTTTCTCCCGTCCAGAGTCCGCCCGGCACTTGGCGAGCCGCCCATCTTTGGGGTTTAGCTCCCGCAGCCAGGAACAAAACCCAACACACGCAAGGCATTTCGCGGGGGTGCAGCCAAGCACATCAATGACAGACTTTGCACCTGCAGACACCCGCCGTCGACCCAAAAACGCTTCCCCCACGGGCGACCCCAGGAAAGCAGAAGGAGCATATCATCTGCGGGGGAAGTAAAGAGTAAAAACCCACCCAGTAACAGGGGGGTTGAAACTGGAAACCGCAGGGGCCGCGGTGACTTGGGGGAATGTCACGAGACTTCAAGAATTTCTCGTCCTTCAAAAGCTTTTCTCGATTTCTCTCCTTCTTTTATTAACTTCAATAATGGCAGTGACTTCATGCCAGCACGTGACCCCCTCTTTTGCCACCCCTGTGATCTCCAGTTTTAACCCCCCTGTTGGGAGGTGGGTTTTTACTGTTTATTTCCCTCGCAGATGGTATGTAGAAGCCATCATCAGCCCATGGACATCTCCCTGCGCGAAATCTCTACTTGTGGCACCCTGACCTGATCCGACTGGTGGCTCAAGGCGGCTCGGCTCCATGCCACGGCGACCCGAGTCGAGTCCTGGCCCTTAGTCGGCCCTCGCCCCTGATATCATCGATGGAGCCACCTGTGGGACCCAAACCGGCACGGCCGTCCGGCGTGGATAGCATCACGTAACGATTTGCCAATTGGTGGAGTTCTCTGGAGTTTTTCCACGCCCAGGAACCCAACCAAAATTCCTGCTCCGGAAATCTGAGGCCATTGACCAACGGCACGCTCGCCATTATAGCCTTCTCACGCAGGGTCCTGCTCCGCATCTGGACACCGAGTGGACTATGGTCCGGGATCGAGTCTGGGACTCCGGGGCTGCCCTTGCCGATGTCGCTGTTGACCTGCTCCGCTTGCCCTGGGGTGATCCCCATGTTGACATGTCATGGCCGTAGCAAGTATGAGTCTTCGTGCCGTGTTCTTCTGTTCTTTTTTACCCTCGTCTTCCCCAGACCAGGTCTCGTCTGCCTTGTCTCCTCCGTAGACTCCCCTAGCCCGCTGCTGTCCACCAGAGTCGATAGCACCAAGACCACCTCGGATCGCCCTCTAGGACTTTACCTTTTGATCTACTCCATCATGGGCACCGAGTCTGAAGCAGCAGCTACGAGGCCCGAGGCGCCCGCGCCTGCTGGGTCCAAGGAAGAGCAGCAGCAACAACAGCCGCCCCCGCCGCCTCCCGAGCAGGCCAGCGTTTGGACAAGGGAAGAGGGCGAACTGATCGACTACCACACCTTGAGCTGGTGGCAGGGCGGCATCGTCCTGATCGCCGAGACCGTCTCGCTCGGTATCCTCTCGCTGCCCTCTGTCCTGGCCACCGTTGGTCTGGCGCCGGGCATCGTCCTCATCTTGATCATGTCGGGCCTGTCGACGTACTCGGGTATGGTCCTGGCCGAGTTCCGCGCCGCGTACCCCTACGTGCAGAATTTCGGCGACGCGCTCGAGGTGATCGGCAAGTCCATCGGCATGGGCCCCCTATTCCAGGAGGTCTTTGGCTGGGCACAGGTCACCTTCCAGGTCTTCGTCATGGCCAGCCACCTGCTCACCTGGACCATCTGCCTCAACACGCTGACCGACTCGAGCACCTGCACCATCGTGTGGGCCGTCGTCGGGCTTGGCGTCTTCGCCGTGCTCAACTTCCCGCGCACGCTCAAGCACACGGCCTGGATGTCCATGGCTTCGTGCATCTCCATCGTCGTTGCCGTGCTCGTCACCATCGGCGACGTGGCTTACGAGCGGCCCATCGGCTCCAAGGCCATCGAGGCGGCGCGCGAGATCCCCTTCACGTCGGGCATGCTGGCCATCACAAACATCGCCGTCTCCTTCTCGAGCCACTCGTGCTTCTTCAGCGTCATCGGCGAGTTCAAGAAACCCGAGGACTTCCCCAAGGCCCTGGCCCTGCTCCAGATCGCCGACACCACGCTGTACCTGCTCGCCGCCATCGTCATCTACGTCTGCGTCGGGCCCAACGTGCCGTCGCCCGCGCTATCGGCCGCCGCCTCGCGCACCATGCGCAAGGCCATCTGGGGCATCGCCATCCCCACCATCGTCATCGCGGGCGTCATCTACGGCCACGTGGCCGCAAAGTACATCTTTGCCCGCATCTTCCGCGACTCCAAGCACGCCGTCCGCCGCACCAAGCTCTCGGGCATCGTCTGGCTCGCCATCGTGTGCGGCCTCTGGGCCCTCAGCATGGTCATCGCCGAGTCCATCCCCGTCTTCAACAGCCTGCTGGGCATCGTGGCCGCCATCTTCGCCTCGTGGTTCTCGTACGGCCTGCCGGGCGTCTTCTGGCTCTGGATGCACTGGGGCGACTTCTTCTCCAGCAAGCGCCAGACCGCCCGCTTCGCCGGCAACGTCCTCCTTTTCATCACCGGCCTGCTGATCTGCGTCCTCGGCCTGTGGGCCTCCATCGAGGCCATCGCGACCGAGCGAGTCACCAAGCCGTGGTCGTGCGCCTCCAACGCGGCGCCATGATTGACGAATGAGGAGGTCTACGTTATGAACGAAGCTCTGGATTGCGGGGGAATGTTTGGGCCAGGGACTCTTTGTAGTGCTTGGAATGAGTTGTATGTGTATTATAAGGCCCTGGGACGAGTCGCTATACGCAGACAAATTCATAATGGTCAATATGAAAGCCCGACTTCTCGGCGTATAAGAATTTTGCTTGGGAATTGATGTATAATTCCTATTCTTATTTCCACTTTAAAACACTTACGCTCGCCCTTATTGTCGTTCCTGTTCCTACCCACATCTCTAGAAAGGGCTATCCCACCGCACTAATAATTCTGTCAAGCTCACATCTCCACAGCATCAGTCTCTGTTCACGATAGTAAGACGCCTTCTAGGCGACCCCTCGTGACCGTGCCCGTAATCCCCATCCCTCTCGTGGGCGACTCTGGTACAACAGCACCCGCTTACCGTTTCGATCCCTAGGACCTAGAACCCAGAAGACAGTAGAACAAAGAGCTACTCGATTAAGAAACTGATATCGGACGGCTTTCTAAGATGTTTCTTTCCTCCTTTTTTCCCTTTTTTTTTTTGTATTTCCTTTGTAATTTAAAAATTCAAATCACCTCGCTTCACCGTTCCCTCCACGTCCCCTCCGAATTGTTTCTCCTCCTCCCCTCGGCGTTCATCCCGGGCATATGCCCTTCCTCAAAGTGGAGCTCGACCGTCGTGCTCTTCATGATGGGTAGCCTCAGGCCCCCATCCTCGAGGTCACCGTCGCGACCACCACCACCGCCGGCGCCGGCGCGTCGCCTCTCCCCGGCCAGGTCGGCCATTGCGAACTCTTCCTCGACGCCGCCGGCGGCGGCCGCCGTGGCCCTACCGCCGTACCTGTAGCCGTGCTGGCTGCCGAGGGCGGCGAGGTCGTCGTCGGAGCTGACGCGGTGGGCGCCGCCGTGCTTGCCGTTGCGCAGGGCGCTGCCCAGGCTGCTGCCGGTGCTGCCGCTGAGCTTGCCGCCGCCGCCACCGATGCCGGTGCCGCCGCCCTTGGAGCCGCCGCCCTTGCGGGTGCCGGTCGCGTAGCCTATGCGCGTCAGCAGGTGGGATTGGCCGATGCTGGCGAGCAGCTGGCGCAGCACGGGCTGCATGGCGGGGAAGCAGCCGCACCACAGCCCGACGTGGCCCTCGAGCACGGTCCAGAGGCCGATCGTTGCCATGCTGTATGTTCTGTGGGAGAAAAAGGGTGGGAACACCGGTTAGCATAAAGGGGTTTTTTTTTAGGTGGAGGCGGGGGAGGAGCACAAGCTTGGCAGGGGTGGTTTGGCTGCCGAGTTGTGAGGCCCGGTTTCAGGGGTGGACTTCAAGGTGGCGGAAACAAAGCGAAACCGGAAATACCGAGCAGAAAGAAACGAAGAAAAAAAGAGAAAGGTGGGACGGAGGAACATGTACTCACGCATCCGGTTGGAAAGGGGTCGTCCGGATCAGGACGTAGCGCACGATGCCCGTGATGACGACAAAGATGCCGACGCTCATGACCATCAGGACGCGCCACTTGCGCGTGGACAGCATCATCTTGTCCCAGATGACCCACACGGGCAGGGCGACGAGGCACAGGTCGATGACTATGCCCAGGATGGAGTGCACGTTGAGGATGAGGTCGACCGTCTGGCCGTCCATGCACTGACCGGCCGTCATGAAGGGAGGGAGCCAAAAGGCGCTGTTCAAAGCATCGCAATGTTAGTAAGATGCAGAGGCAGGATAGGTCCGAGGGCGTATATATATATATAAAAAAAAGGAAAGTCCATACGAGATGGGCCTGCAGGAAAAGATGCGCAGGCAAAAGACGACAATGGTGGAGACGACGATGACGGCGCCGAGGCCCCAGACCATCAGCTTGTAGGGCTTGTTGCCCGGGTGGATGCCGGGCAGGAAGGCGACGATCTGCATGCGCATCAGGCAGACGGCCCAGAAGTAGAGCAGAGTCTGCGTGGCGAGCGCGTCGAAGAAGCCGAGGTAGTAGATTGGTGGGACGAACTGCATGTGCGCGCCGGTGCCGTGTTCGACCACTGGGGGACATACATTCCAGACGATTAGCCAACCTCATCCACCCCCGTCCAAGTCGAGCCAAGATAAAAACAAAAAAAAAAAAGCATACACCTAATGTCCATGGCGGACAGCGCCAGCAGCGCGCCCAGGGTCAGGACGGATATGGCGTCGTCCAGCCCGGGCCGCTTGGCGACGTACAGGCGCGAGTAGAGGCGGAGGCCGACGAAGATGACGGAGAAGGCGATCATGAAGATGTTGAGGTGGACGGTCCGGTCGCCCAGGTAGTCGGGCGTGCCGCGCAGGATCCCCGACGCAGGCGGCAGCGGGCCCGTAGGCACCGGCAGCGATGCCGGCGGCCCCGGGGGCGGCGCCGGCGAGGCTGTCGTGTTATTCATGGCAAGGCGTTTGCGTGGCTGTCCTGAGTCGAGTCGGTGGTGGTGGTCCGGGCCTGGGACTGGCACTTAGCCGGCCGGCTGTTGGTGGTTGGTTGGGCAGGAGAGGGAGAGTGATCGGCGACGTCTGTCTGTGTGTGGTGATCGATGATTGTGGTAGCGGGGCGGCCCTTGCTTTTTCTTGCTTTCTCCTTAGCCTGATTCTGCAAGCCTCCAATCTGCAGATCGTCTCCCCGTCTAAACCATGGCCATGCAACAAGACAAGGGAAGGGAGAAAAAGGAGAAGCAAGATAGAGAAGAAGCTTTCATGAGCCGGTCAGGGGAGGACATGGGGAATGTTTATGGAGAAAGTATTCAGATATCACATCTCGAGCCTCCCTGTTTCCTCCTTCTTTTCTCAGGCTAGGTCCAGGAAAGGACCCTCTTCATGAGCCGGTTCCCTCTCTTGTCGACGGGTAGTAGCGCGGGCGGTCCCCCCCGGTAGGGTTGGCGTGTGGCGTCTCGGCAACCTTGCCAGTTCCAGCGGGGTGCATATCCGGCACACCACTCACACACCCCCGGCCACTCACACACCCCCGACCGCTCTCGCCGAGCCCGCCCAGAAAGGGGGTGGGTGATGTTGTGTGTCACCCTTGCACGGTGCCCGGAAAAAAGTCTGGACCGCAATTCTTTTTCCCCCACCCAAACTCTACCTTTCCCACCACAATCGTACCAGCACCAAAGCCAAACAATATGCCCGCGCCGCACTCTACACCTAAAAAAAACAAAAAAAAACACGCGTTTAAGGGATTTGTGATTATCTTGATACAAAAGACATTACTTATAGCCATAATACCGTTTTTCGCTTTGCCGGAGTGCCGAAATCTTCCGGGTGGGCTCTTTTTTTTGTGGTGGTGGGGAATAAATTGCGGTCCAGACTTTTTTCCGGGCTTGCCTCGGACGTAAAGGTCCATCTCCCACGCGCGATAAGTGCCTCTCGGTGGGGTCGTCTCCTCTTGCATATCATATACGTGGGCTCCGTCAGGTACCAACCTTCCCCAATTGGAGCACCCGTATTCGTAGGTGTCATGCTCGCTTCAGGGGTCTGTTGTCCCTGTTCCTGCTTGTCGTGATGGCGACCCATCATATCTATCGCCCCGTCGCGTGGGAATGCCACGAGCAAGCTCCTTCCTCCAGCCCACGTGGTCGCCCGCCCTGAGGACGCGTGGGACCAGCCGATCGCCAGATCCGGATTGCCATGCAGGAAGCAAAGATAAGGGAGGGGGTTGGTGGCCACGCGCGACGCGGCCAGTTTTCCAACGGGATGGCAGCAAGTTTGGTAACGCAGTAACAGGCATGACATGATGGACGGACGGGCCCATGAAAGCGGTTGGAATAACCACTTGCAGCCCATTTGCCGCCACCAAGAGCCGGCAGCGTGCCGCGGGCGTCCGAGGAGCGAGGCTAGTCTCCTGTTGCCGCTACCTACGCTGCCGTCTGCCATAGGGCGCCGAAACAACAGCTGGACCCGGAAACGACCGAGACGGAAGCTGAGAGAGTCTTAGCGTGCGTCTCTCGCCCTTCTCTAGCGGGCCCTCTACCTAGTTCTCCAACATTGCGCGTGGCGGATCCTTCGTTGGTGGTTTCGACCCCTCCCCCCTTGACTGCCAGTGCTTGGAATAATTTTGGGCTAATATACGCAACCAGTCTCTTCTGATGCCCCCCCTGTCACCGTGATGGCAGGGGGTACCTGGATCAGGCTTCATGAGTCAACTACCTGGATCGGGGATTCCTCCGTCCCGCCTACCTTGCTTGCCTAAGGCCTAGCCTACCGATGGCGCCTTTTTTTTTCCTTTTCTTTTTTTCTTTTTTTTCTCTCTCTCTCTCTCTGGGTTCCTTTATCAAGTATCTAGCCCCGGATGTCGTCGACCCGGGCCAAGCCACACCAGGAAAACCACACCATAGTAGAGGATAAGTGGGGCCGTCTTGCATTAAATCGCACATCTGGCATTGTGCCCAAGCCTTGGACCTCCTTCCTCCTGTGGTCAAACAAGATGAGGACGGATGTTAGAATAGAATATTCGTGTGAGCACCGTCTTCCGTCTTCTGCTGGCTCCTGGCCCAAGGTTGGTGACGACTGAGCATGAGCCCCCGGTCTCCAGTCGTCCATATAAAATAGGTGGACCGGCCCGCCGACTGGGCTGAGAGTCTTGGGATAATCCCTGATTGGGGTTGCTGCTGTCGCTATCGCGCACATGGCCGCCACGGACTTTGTCAATTTGACAGTCAATACTGTGTACATTTGGCCGAAGATGGAATCGTGACGGGGTGCATCCGATTCGCGTGAACGGGCTCCCTCCCATTTGTCAGCCGCCTCCTATTATCTCCCGTCGGATATAACTCGGCCCACGCAAGATGCCATTCAAAAATATGATGGGTATTGGGGAAAAAGTTCGGGGCTGGATGCGCACGTTAGATTTGATAGCGCCGGCGATACCGTTCCCCTTTTTCTTTTTCTTGTCTATCTATCCTTTTTTTCCTTCTTTCCCTTCCCCGCGGCTCCAACTGACTGCAGCATCCACCATCATTCACCGTCGATGGGCTGGGAATGTGACATATAATAACATGTTTGTTAAAACTCCAGTTGATGGCCAATTACAGCAAGACCTCAGGCAGGAGCTCGAGGTTTCCAATCCTTCGGACCAGTTCCTTGCAGCCTGCCAGCCTGCATCCTGCTTTTGCTGCTTTCCATTCTTTGGGCAGCCGAACCCGTCCTCGTGGGAAGGAGCGTGGGAGCGAGTTCAAAACTTGCTTCTGTTGGGTTGCCTGCCACTGATCCACACTGGTCCCCACAAGACCGACGGGCAAGCGGTGGTAGCGAGTCATAATCACCGACGTGCTTTTTCATCCGCCCCTTCTCATTAGCCAGCCATCTTCCGATACCTGCCTCCTGCTTGCTCAGCCCATGCAAGCTTCCATCGTTCGCATACCCTCTTCTGCATGGTGGAAGCGGGGGGTTTGTTGTCTATATTGCTCATTGCTTGGAGCCCTTGCTTGGAGAGTAGTGTGCCTGTCGATTGTCAGCATCCGAGAGTGACAGAGGGGGGTTTTCGTGTGTCACCAACTGCGACTGTACGCGGACGTCAGTTCCTGACCTTGGTGAGGTGCAGCAAAAAAGGCCCCCCAGGTCCCTGGTTCGAGGCCGGGTTGCACTGCATGAGAGATGAATGCGCATCCCCGATGCGCTGCGGCTCGTTGGAGGCATGGAACGAATAGTACATCTCGCTTCTTGGCAAAATTGGCACCAAGATGGCGGTGGAGCACTCGCGACCACCACTCGCACCGCCCCCCGGAGCCGAAAGAGGCGAAAAGGGGGGCCCGTTTCCAATAGTCTTGAGGGAGGGGGGGGGGGGGGGGGGGGGGTTTCTGGAGCCTCCCGCATACGGGCTAGACTCGCCGCCCCAACATGCCCGGTCTGCTGCAAGGTAGAGCCCATGGTGTCACGCTCACGACGCCATGCCACGCATTGCATGGGCCACGCCAGTTAGATGAGCTCTTCTCCGCACTCTCGACATGAGTGAGATGCGGGCCCATGCTGGCCCATGCTGGCCCTTGCCCTCGGGGCCTGGTGCGTGTGTGTGTGTGTGTGTGTTTGTTTGTGTCCCCTTCTCGGCCAGACCACGTTGTGCCGGCGCCGAAGCCGGGCGGGTTTCTTCGATAAAAGGAAGCCTTTGGACTTCCTGACACGATATGGTGCCCTGTCTTGTGCCCCATGGTTCCATTCAGCCTCTCTTTATCACCAACTAGAATTTGCCAACAGCAAGTTCTGACGAGGGCACCATCAAACCGTCGATAGACGGACGAAAAAAACAAGATGCGTTCGCAAGACTTGTCCTCCTGGCTCTGCGCCGCCGTGGCTGCTGTTTCCGTCGGTGTCGCACAGGCCGCCCCTGGCAAGTGCAAGCCCGCCCCCAGCATCCGTCGCGAGTGGTAAGTGTGTATCGCGATTTTGTCTTTTTGGCGCTGTTGATCTTTTCCCTTGCCAGCTTAGCCGGTTCCGTCAACCATTGGGCCAACTACCGCGCTACCCCCAAACCCTTGTCAACCCATCCCCGGTTGTCTGGTGCGACATTCGTGTGTGACGTGTCTGGCATCCGAGTTTGGATGCGAGCATTGGTGTTGAACAATGTCCGCTGACACTATCCTGCTACGACATCAAGGCGCTCCCTGAGCCAGCCCGAGAGGAAGGCCTACCTGGACGCCGTTGTGTGCCTGCAGAACGCTCCTCCCAAGCTACAGCACCTCTTCCCCGGCTCCAAGTCTCGGTTCGATGACTTCCACGCCACTCACATCTCTGCTCTGGATATTCACTGGAACGGCCCGTTCCTGCCGTAAGTGCATTCTGCTGTGTCTGGCCCGACATCTGAGCGGCTGCTCGACTCGGGTCTTTTCACCAGCGTATACCCCCCGAGGACACGTTACTAATAGCGTCCGCTACTAGATGGCACCGTTGGTTCATCACCCTCTACGAGCACGAGCTGCGCCAGACATGTGGCTACAAGGGCTCCCAGCCGTAAGTTCTTCCCTGCAACGCACATCATACAAAAATGGCGTGCTTTGCTTCTTGGCTACCTAGGGGAGACTATGCTGACAGGCGCGCCCCCCCTGCAACGGGACAGGTACTGGAACTGGTCGCTTGACAGCAACAGCGAGGCCGACGTCCTGAAGTCGCCCATCTGGGACGCCGAGTTCGGCTTCGGCGGCAACGGCGACTTCGTCCCCGACGACGTGGCGGCCACGTTCCCCAACGTGCCCTTCATCGTGCCGGGCCGCACCGGCGGCGGCTGCGTCAAGGACGGCCCCTTCGCCCAGCGCAACGTCTCGATGGGCCTGGGCGCCAGCACCGCCTTCACGCCGCACTGCCTGCGCCGCGACATCAGCCCCTGGCTCGTGTCGCACTCGTCCAACCAGGGCGTCGTCGACCGCGTGCTGGACCAGCCCGACTACATGAAGTTCAACATCGGCCTCCAGGGCGGCCTGATGCCCGACGACATCACGCTGCACGGCGGCGGCCACATCGGCGTCGGCGGCAACACGGGCGACATCGCAAACGTCAACTCGAGCCCCGGCGACCCGATCTTCTACCTCCACCACACCAACCTCGACAGGATCTGGGCCGAGTGGCAGGCCCGGGACTGGCCCGCGCGCAAGTCGGACTTTAGCGGCCCGCGCAAGGAGTGGGCCAAGCCCTTCAACCTGGTCCCCGGCATGCCCGAGGTCATCTCGGAGCCGGCCACGCTCGAGGACCTGCTCACGTACAGCGAGCTCTCGGGCGCCGTCAAGATCAATGACGTCATGGACATCCACTGCAAGGGCGTCCTCTGCGTCGAGTACGCCTAAGCACGGCGCACGCGTCTTGGGGGGGTTGGCCGTTTCTTCTCGGGAGTTGCTGGACAATACCATAATACACATACGGTCGTTATAATTGTACATACATACAACATACACTCGCTTTTGCTTTCGGAGCTCATCATAGCGATTGTTCCCATAACCGGTTTACCAAGCAAATAACTACTTTGAAAAAAATTGTTATTTCGACGTTGTATTCCCCTTCACCTCAGTGGTCTCTACCGTGAAACAGGCTCCATGCAATGTACGCCACCACCTTCGGGATTCCCGACAGGACACCGTACACGCCCCCGGCTGCGGCTGCGGCGGCGGGCGAGCACACGGGGCGCCCCAGGTTTTCGGCCATGCGCGCAAAGGTATAGCCGCCGAGGGCGTCCCACCCGATGATTTGGATGTACGTGCCGGAGAGGGTGCGGAGGCTGCCCGACTTGTTTTCTTCTCTGTGATGGCTGCTTGCTGTTTTTTTTAAAAAAAATATTTTTATAGAATGTGCATCTTCATGTCAGCTTGGGTTGTTTGGGACTTTGGACCATTGCATACCCATTTCTTCTTCTTGCATGAACATGTCCGCATCCAAACATGGCCATCGCCGGCTTCGGTCCGCCGTCTCCACCCAAGCCGGGCCGTGCCGGTGGGCGATTAAGGTTATGTTCGTGGCGGGGTCTTTCTGGAAGGATATAGGAAAGCGTATTTGCACGACTTACAGATGTACATGCCAACGCTCTCGAATTGGAGCGGCAGGGCGGCAACAAGAGCGGCCTTGAGTAGTTCGGATGGAGCTGTCGTTGGTTTGCGCGTAAGTCAAGGTTCTTGCCCTCTTGGCGTTATAACCCGTTCAACCCCCTCAGAGGTTAGACATCACGAAGGAAGGGAGACAAACGAAAAAAAAAAAAAAGACAACTGACTCTCGCCCAGCACGACGCTGCACACCTGCGCCGTGATCAGAACAGACAGGCCAAAGACGGTGGCGACGATGATGAGCAGCATGCGCGACGCGACGCCAATGTCGGCGAACTCGAGGAACCCGACAAACGCCAGGATCCCGGCCTTGGTCGCGCCCGACACGGCCCCGATCCCGAGCGCCCGGCCCGACGCCCCGTCGCCGCCGCTGCTGCTGTCGTTGACGTGCGCCCCCGTCGCGACCGCCGCCGGCCCCGCGGCCGCGTTGAGGGCGACGTCGACGGCCGAGAGGGCGAGGAACAGCAGGACTGGGCGGAGGCCTGTTAGTTTTTTTTTGTTGTTGCTTGTAGCAGGGGTATGGAGGGTCGTTGATTGAGTGATTTGGTCTCACCTGTCAGTATCCTCTCCTTGCCAGCGTCTTGCATCGTTGCAGATGTGGCTTCGTTCGCCGGATGCCGCAGATCCAGCCCCGCGTCCTTGTTCCTTTTCGAGTTGCCGTTTGTGGTATCTCTGTTATAATATATTGGCGATTTTCCCGTTTGTTCGTCATCGGCGCGACGGGTTTGCCAATCCCGCACTACTATATACCTCTATAGCGGAAATGAGACGGGCGAAGGAAGCTGACGTGCCAAGGCGGCGCCCAAACGATCACCCTTTTTTTTTTCTACAGCTGTCTAGCTAGGTAGTCAGGTGGCTGTGCCCGCGACGTGCATCTCGGGACGAGGTGGCCAATGGCGCGGGCTGTCAGAAACGTGCCTGCCTGAACGGGGCGGTGGTGCGCGCCTTTTCAGCTCAGCCCGTTTCTCCTCAAAAGAGCGGCCAGGCCGACCGACCGCTTCTCATGGAGGGGCCCGCCACTTGCATCGGTCACTCGATTTCTCAAAAACGCCGGTTCGCTGCAGTCGGGCGCTCTTGTTTGGTGCCCGGTTTGAGCCCAAGGCGGATTAGCCTGCGGCCTAGCCTCGATTGCGCCCGGTTTTATAAGTCTGGGACAATTGGGTGCAAAAGTTTGGTGTTGATAGGGTGCGGCATCACGGGCCGTCTCGGCCAGGCTCTAGGTATTGTTCCATTTTTGCTGAGCGGAATCGTGAAAAGAAGCACTTTCCGCGGCAGTTGGTGGTATAAGAGAAAAGTCGGCCAACTACAAGTTTCTCCCACAACATCCAGTGGTTGGCTTCACACGCAATGACATGGTTGAGAGCGCGAATGCACATGTTCTAGATATACCCGAATAGGGCCGCATAAAAATGGACGTGTGTGTAATCGAGCCGAATCCCGACGTCACCGGCATCGGGGTCAGTACGCAACAGAACAGATCCCACCCAGACAGACAGACAGCCTGGCTGACTATTTATAATCCCCCAGATCCGAATCTCCATCTACGCCCTCTGCCTCACGTGTCGCCTCCTCCCCTTCGCCGTCAAGCTCCTTTCCCCAGCCGACCGGCGCGGCGCCTCCGAGTTCGAGCGCGCCTCCTCGGCCGCCCTGGGCCTCCAGGGCCTCGCGCTGCTGTGCACGGCGATCGCGCAGACGGCCCAGCGCAGGCTCACGCTCTTCCACGCCGTGGCCGTGCAGCACCTGCTCGCCCTGCTGGGCGTCAACCTGGCCGCGCGGGGCCGGTACCGGCGCCGCCGCCGGGTGGCGACGCTCGACGCCGCCGTCGCGGCGCTGGCCGCGGCCGCCTTTGCGGCCTTTGACGTCTACGTGTGGGTCAAGGCGCCGGGCTTTGGGTCGCAGCCGGATTGTAACGGCTCGACCGTCTACGTCGTCTTCGGCGTCTCGGTCGGCGCCACCGACGACGTGTTCCGCTACGTCGTGCTGGCCACCTTCGCGGTCGTGCCCGCTTTCTTCGTCGTCGTCGTGCTCGTGAGTCTGCCGTGCTGCATCGCCGCCCTGCGCTCGCTCCGGGGCAACCGCGGCGGCGGCGGCGGGAGTGCGTGGCGCGTCCAGGGTAGCTGCTGTGGCTGGAACGCGCCCGGCGACGGCTCCGGCAGTGATGACGACGACGGCGACAGCGATGTCGAGTCAGTGCGGCGGCGTCATGGCTCCGACGCTTCCGAAGAAAGGCCGGATCCACGCATCAGCGAGGGTCTGCGGGCCGTCGCCTACGCCGTCTTCTCCATATACGCCATCATCTCGCTCGAGCAGATGATCGAGCGTAACCACCTCTCGGAGGAGGAGCGCGAGTGGAGTTTCGGCCAGGTCATTGCTATTTTTCTTCTGGGAGGCACCTTTTATGAGCTCGCGCAGGTCATCATCTCGGGCATCGGGGCAAGAGCACGGTCGAATGATCGGAACAACCAAATCGAGTTGCGGCCCACGTCAGGACCACCCCCCTGAGGCCACGCTTCGCACGTCGAAAATAGTGATAGTGGGGCTTTATAGTAATACTTGGCTGTGTTTCTGGTCTTTTAATTTCAGTATTCTGCCTTGTTTGAAACCCCTTGTAGCCGCCTCTATCACAAGCAGTGAGCACCGGTGCTGGATGCTTACTTTCACAAGTACATAATTAGGTTGTTGCGACCAAGGCTCTATCATGCCTTGGACAGACCCTGCTGTTGCTCCGCAAAGAACTTCTTTGACTCGAAGCAGCGCTCGCTCTTGCAGCCTGGACAGCGCAGACCCATCTGCTTGGAGCACGAGATGCCGCTGGCCAGGTGCTCCTTTGCAATGTCGGCCAGCGCCTGGATGAAGACGCGTCCGCCGTTGAGGCTCTCGACCCGCTTAACCGTGTCGGCGTGGCCCGACTCACCAATTACCTCCTCGTCTAGCTCGAACAGCGTCTCGATGTGGTCTGACGTAAAGGCGATAGGGATCAGAACAATGTCCTTTTGACCCTTGGCGATGTACTCCTCCACCGACGTCTGCGTCTGCGGGCCCAGCCACGGTTGCGGGCCCACCTGCGACTGCCAGCAGAGCCGGTAGGGGTTCGAGAAGCCCAGGCGCTGCATCACCGCGTAAACGGTGGCTGCAACCTCGGCGGGGTATGGGTCGCCTGCACAAGTCCTAGTCAGCACATCATCTTGATTATCTGCTCCCTCACTGCCGGGCACTCCATCTTACCTCGGTTGACCACTGTCATTGGCAGGCTGTGTGCCGAAAACATCAGGACGACCCTGTTCCGCCTCTCTTCGGGATACTCGGCGAGCTTGGCCTCGATGTTCTGTGCAAAGGCCTCGACGAGACCCGAGTGGGCCGGCCACCTGTCAATGACGCTCCATTGAATGGTGCCGTCACCAGGAGTTGAGGGCGAGCCGTCGGGCTTCTTGCCCTCGAGCCGCTGCCTCCACTTCCATAGCTCGTTGACACTGCTGCCCGTGGTGGAGCACGAGTACTGCGGGTACTGTGTGAAGGCGACGGCCCTGCCGCCCTTGCCGTTACCGAACCCGTCGGCGAGCAGGCGGTTGTACATCTCCTCGGTCAACGGGTTCGCGTAGCGGAAGGCGACGTAGGGCTTGTGCGGGGCCGTCTCGGGCGAGATACGGTCGAGGATCTTGCACATCTCGGCGCTCTGGTGCTCGGACCACTTGCGGATCGGCGAGCCGCCCCCGATGGCGGCGTATTGCTTCTGGATCTTGGGCGTCCTGCGCTTGGCGATGAAGGATGCAATGTAGTTTTGCAGCGGGCCGAAAGGGATCAGGTCGCCGTCAGACTGGACAAGGAGGTGTCAGCGCATGGCGTGCTTGCCTTGATGTTGCTCACTTCCCAGCCCCTTTCCCTTGTAGGGAAGCACCTACAAATAGCCTCAGCAGAAAGTCGTGGACCTCGTCCGTGGTCGAAGGCCCTCCCATGTTCAGGAAGACCATGGCAGTTGGGCCTTTGCTGCCAGTCGCATCTTGTGTGACAGGCGGCACCGGCGTCGCAAAGCATCTTGTTTGGATCGAAGCTGGCGCTGCGGAGGCGGCTAATGACAGCCATGACCGCAGGTTCTGCGCGGCACACAGCGAGACGGGGGTCTGCCGCGAGAGCGTTCTCGACAGCTGTCTCCTCGATTGTCTTAGTGCCGCCATCTTGTGTACTGGATGGCGGGAAGAGCTAGTGATTCGGGATTGTTGGAGTCCACCGCAGTCTCGGGGGGTTCGGTGATGGTGGCGTCGTTTTATCGGTGAATTGGCGCAGGTCCGAAGGTTCCGAAAACCAGATGGCCAAGAGCATGAACTTTAACTGAGCCAAGGACAGCTTCAGTGGGCCGATCGATGATGCTTTTGGGGGATCAATGGATCGAGTTGCCGACCCCACATCGAGCTCCAAGCTTCCCCTGCAACTGAGGCCAATTGCGTAGCATGTCATTGGCCCTCGTCTTTGCTTGCCCACACGTGACCTCGTGCCTCGACCGTGAGGCCTGGTCCCACCTCGCCGCGTTGGTGCCTAGCCGTCGCGTTTTACAGCTGCATCCCACTCAACTCGCCACCTTCCATCGTCGTCACGCTGGCAGGACCACGGCCACATGGAGTTGTCGCATTTGTGATAAAACTTCAAGATGGCATCGAGAAGCTCATACCCATATCGCGAGGAGGAGGAGGAGGAAGAGGAGGAGCTGGACGAATCTGTTTGTTCTCCAATAACTCACCTCTCATCAGCCAACCTACATAGGGGCGATGCAATGAACTCACAGCTGACACGGGAGCTTGACAGGACTACAAAACCCAGAAGGATGCCGTCCTGTTTGCCATCGAGATCAGCTCGTCGATGCTTGAGCAGCCGGCAAAAGGCAGCTCAAAAAAGGGGGACAAGGATAGCGCCGCCACTGCAGCGCTCAAATGCGCCTACCAGATCATGCAGCAGCGCATCATCGCCACGCCGAGTGACATGATGGGAATCCTGCTTTTTGGCACCGAAAACTCAAAGTTCCGCGAGGACGATGAGCAGGGCGGCGGTAGTGCCCGCTATCCCCACTGCTACCTGTTCATGGACCTGGACGTACCCATCGCCGAGGACGTCAAGCGGCTCAAGAACCTAGTCGAGGAAGGTGACGACCCCGAAGAGGTGCTCAAACCGACCGACGGGGCTGCCAATATGGCCAACCTTCTGTTCTGCGCCAACCAGATCTTTACGACCAACGCTCCCAACTTTGGCTCCCGGCGCCTGTTCATCATCACAGACAACGACAATCCGCATGGCAGCGACAAGACCTTGCGCTCGTCCGCGGCCGTCCGAGCCAAGGATCTCTACGATCTTGGCGTCATCATCGAGCTCTTCCCCATCAGTAGGAAGGACGAGGGCGTTTTTGACTTGACTAAATTCTACGATGTACGATCAAGCCCGTATTGGCATCTTTTCTGACCTCGCCGCTGACCTGTCGCACGCAGGACATCATTTACCGTGATCCGGCGTCTGAGATAGGGGCGCCAGACGGCATCAAGCCGGCCAAGTCGGGCGATGACGGCCTGTCACTCCTCAACTCGCTCATTTCCGACATCAACTCAAAGCAGACACCCAAGCGTGCTTACTTCTCTCACCTGCCGTTTGAGGTGGCGCCTGGTCTGACCATAGCGGTCAAGGGCTACATCCCACTCCACGTGCAGAAGCCCGCCAGGAGCTGCTACATCTACGTTGAAGGCGAGACACCGCAGATAGCCACGGGGGAGACGACCAAGCTGGAGATGTCGGAGAGCTTGCGGACTGTGCACAAGTCGGAGCTCAAAAAGGCACACAAATTCGGCGGCGAGTACGTGCACTTCACGCCCGAAGAGACAAAATCGCTCAAGGACTGGGGCAGCCACGTGCTCCGTATCGTGGGCTTCAAGCCGCGGTCGGCGATCCCGGCGTGGGCGTCCATCAAGAAGTCGACCTACATCTTCCCCGCCGAGGAGGACTACGTGGGCTCGCATCGCGTCTTCACGGCGCTCTGGAAGAAGCTGCTGCGCGACGACAAGGTGGCGCTGGCGTGGCTCGTGGCGCGCGTCAACGCGAACCCGATCCTCGTCGCCATTATGCCCTCGCGCAGCCCGTCGGACGACGAGTCGGGCACGCCCTTCCTCCCCGCCGGCCTGTGGCTGTACCCGCTACCGTTCGCCGACGACCTGCGCGAGCCCGACAAGCGCGCGACGGCCAGGGCGCCCAAGGCGCTCATCTCGGAGATGGAGAAGGTGGTCAAGAACCTGCACCTGCCCAAGGGCACGTACAACCCGGCAAAGTTCCCCAACCCGGCGCTGCAGTGGCACTACCGCATCCTGCAGGCGCTCGCGCTGGAGGAGGAGGTGCCCGAGCACCCCGAGGACCTGACGGTGCCCAAGTACAAGGCCATCGCCAGGCGCTCTGGGGACGCGCTCCGGGAGTTGAACGAGGCCTTTGAGGCCGAGGCCGCGGTGGCGCGCGGCAAGCGCGCCGTGAAGCACGAGCTCGAGGACGACTCGGGCCACCCGGCCAAGAAGTCGCGCATCGCCATCTCGGGCGGCGGAGGGGCAGGGGCAGGGGCGGCGGGCATGAGCCACGCACAGCTCAAGGCGGCGCTGGCGCAGGGCACGCTCGGCAAGATGACGGTCGTCGACCTCAAGGCCATCCTCACGTCCAAGGGCATCAGCCCGACGGGCAAGAAGGCGGACCTGCTGGACAAGCTGGAGGATTGGATCGAGAACAATGTTTAGCCGGCAGGGCTGGGTCAAGGATGATGTGTCCAGGGGTGCCTGGAGATGTTGGCTTTTTTTTGTAGTATTTGTATTATGACTATTTCTTGAGGTGTTTGGAATAGGACGGGCGGGCCTGTGGGGAACGCCTCTGTTTGCTGTCAATTAATTACATCATGCGCTGGAACAACGTGGCTGCAGGCGATTAATCACCACGATCTCGACACTGTTCCTTGAAATCTCTCGCTATATCGCGCTTTGACACATCGCATCTTGCTACAGCCCAGATCAAACCCTCCCCATGCGCACCAGACTCATCAACCAGCCAGCCGCAGCAGCAGCAGCCCTCTACCGTCGAGGCTGCAACAGCGCCATCACAACCACCATCATCACTAGCAGAGGCATCGCCACCACCACCACCACCGCTACCACCACCATGGCCTCCAAAGCCGCCAACAACAGCCCCATCCGCTTCGGCCCCTTCGAGGTCACCTCCCAGGTCTTCCTCACCACGCCGCACTCCTTCGCCCTCGTCAACCTCAAGCCCCTGCTGCCGGGCCACGTGCTCGTGTGCCCGCGCGCGCCGCACCGCCGCCTCACGGACCTGGCCGCGCCCGAGCTGACGGACCTGTTTTGCGCCGTCCAGCGCGTCCAGCGCATGCTGGCGCGCCACTACTTTTCCTCCTCCTCCTCTTCTTCTCATTCTTCTTCTTCATCCGCAGCATCAGCAGCAGCAGCAGCAGCAAAAGAAAAGAACATGAAGAGGGCGGCTCCTTCAACATCGCAGTCCAGGACGGGCCCGAGGCCGGCCAGACGGTCCCGCACGTGCACGTGCACGTCATCCCGCGCCGCGGCGGCACCGCGGCGGCGGACCACCTGCCCAACGGCGGGCCTGACGAGCTGTACGAGCGCATGCACGGCGAAGACGGCAACGTCGGCGGGAAGCTATGGGATGCCGCCGCCGCCGCCGCCGCAGTGGGAGGTGAAGGTGGTGGTGGGAAGAGGCCGGAGCCCGGCGGCGGGTTCCCGCGCATCGAGGACGCGGACCGCGCCCCGCGCTCCATGGGCGAGATGGAGGCCGAGGCGGCGCTGTTCCGCGGGGTGCTAGCGCGTATGGCGGAGGAGGAAGAGGGGCAAGGGCAGGGCAGGTAACGAGGACCTGCTGGTGCCCGATTTCGTGGGACTGTCAAAATCTCCCGAGCGTTTGGCAGTCGATGAGGGAAGCGAGTACGATGCATATCTGCCGTTTGACGAGCCGAGCACCATACATACAGCAAGGCACCATGTAGCCAGAGTTACGGCTTTGCTACAATAGAGTGAGACACCGTCCCGAATTCGACGCAGAAGCCGGAGATCCAAATAAGAAAAGGTAGACCAAAAATAAATAAATGATAACCAGCCAAAATTGTAGCCCCTTGTCCTTCATCCACGCGGCCGAGGGTATACCCCGGGTAGCACAGAAGGAGAGGTCATAAAGGCCGAGAGGTCGGGCAAAGTTTGGCCTTGGCGGGCCGCCTCGTTTCCGGCGTCATCTCCCGCCTCAATCTAGGCCTGGCAGGTGGTCCAACCCCTCCATGCCGGGACCCAGCGAGTCTAACATGGCGGTTGAGTCGCCCTCGGCGGCCCCTCGCATGCCCCTGAACATAAACATGGTCGACGGGTCTTGCATCGCGGGGGCGCCGCTGCCATTGCCGCTGCCGCTGCCGCTGCCGTTTCCCAGGTCCCACGTCTCAAAGTTCTGCTGCCAGTTGACGCCGTCCTTGAGGTACCACTCCTGTCCGTCGACGGCGTATATGGAGTTTGGCGTGCGCGCCGACACTGGGGAGACGCGGTTCGAACCGTTCATGCCGCCAATGGCGGCACCCCCCGCCATTGTCACGGGCGTGCTGGCCGTGTACGGATGGTTGTAGCCCTGCATGGGCCACGCGCTCATCGACGCCATGGCCTCTGCCATGGACATGGGCGCATTCGGGTTTGTACCGCCCCCGCTGTTATTACTACTACCACCGTTGCCATGGCTCGTCTTCTGGACGGTATGAACGGATGGTTTCGGTGTGTGATGTTGCCGATGTGCTCCGGGAGATGGCGTCGACCTCGGTTCGTAGCCCCCTCCCATCGTGGCCTGCGACCGCATCGCGCCTCCATGCCCATTCTGATCTATCCTTTGCGGCTGCGCAGCCGCTGGCGTGCTTGCCTGCGCCATTGCTACGTTGAACTGCTGTTGCTGTTCTGCAAGCGCTGCTGGGGGTGAGTTGGCATATGAGGTGACACCGGCGGGCGTCGACAAATCCCCGACTATGCTGGGTGAAGGGACGTCGGCAGTGCTGAAGCCGCCGTACATCTCGTCCGTCCGTCGCAGGACGATGGATGCCTCCTCGGGCATCTCTACACCCCACTTCCGCGAGAGCACGCTGAGGATGCTAAGGGTCCGTCTCGCGCACGGCCAATCCTCGGCAATCTCCTCTAGTTGCTTTACCCCGTGTATCACATCTCGTCTTGCCGTCTTTTCTGGCAGGTTGAGGAGGTGGATAGTGCAGGCCGAATGCACCATGTAAACGGCAATGTTACATATTTGTCGCAGGTTATATGTCTTTTTATATAGCCTCATCAGCTTGGAAATGGCGCCGGCGTTGGCGGTGCAGATGCGTCGAGGTGATACATGCGAGGGCAGTGGTGAATTCGCCGGGGCATATCGGAGAAACGGCCGGAACAGGTGGATATACTGAAGATGGAAAAACATACTGAGCATGGTGCTTTGTTAGCGCGCTGATCGAGGGAGGAAAAATAACGAAACGAAAAATAGGCAAGGGGAAAGGAACGTACTGCATCAAGATAACGTTTGGCAGTTGGTCCTCCTTGGGCTCAAACTCGGTCGGTAGCGCCTTTCGCCAGTCCTCGAGCCGCCTGTGGAGCTCGCTCAGCTTCTTCAGCTCTACCGACTTGCCGCTCGACCTTCCGATATGATTTGGATGATAAAAGAAGAGAAGCAGGTCGCTACTGATCTCGCACAGCTGCGACAGTTGCAAACCGACGGCCCTCGTCCTCGACGGTTGTTGCGAGGCCTTGTCGAAGCCCGTGTCCGTGTAGGGCGACCACATCTCGGCGTCTTCGTCGGGGAAGACGTCGTACTTGGGCACGTTGAACGAGTTCTTGGGTAGCTGCGGTAGTCGTCCCAGGTAGTTTGACCAGGCCTTGTCGAAGAGAAAACAGCCCCAGAACGTCACCCGGCGTGCATCGATCTGCTGCTCGTCCATCTGCTCCTTGTCCGACTTGATGGCACCAGCATCGAGGTTCAGTCCGATATCCTGGGCCATCCGGAAGCTCATGCCGCTATAGACCCACCCTTTGGCCTCGCGTCCACAACCGGCCTCGCGTACCGACATGAGAGCCAGGGCCTGGACTGTTGTCAGCCGCGGCTTTTCGTACTCGTCATTGACCACGATGAGCCTCTTGGCCTCGGCGAAGAAGTGTTCGCCCTTTGTTCGGCTGTCGCCCAGCGTCCCAAAGGCGCCAGGGACACTGGTGAAGTGACAGCCGAGCGCCAGGATAGCGTTGACCAAGAGCGACGAGCAGTAAGACGGGCGTGCCGACTCGCCCCGTTGCTTGCCCTTGAGCAGGTCGCGGTAGAAAAGACTCCTGGACAGTGTAGTGAAATAGGGATAGTGCCAGGCAAAGTACATGTTGATCAGGTGGACTATCAGCTGGGTGTCTTTGGTAACCTCGGTCCAACTCGCAAACGGGTCGGCGGCGTCGTCCGAGAGCGGGCCGTCGCTATCGATTTCCCTGGGTGTCTCGTTGGGGTCGCCAAGATATATCAAGTGGGAGGTGCCGCCAATAAAGCGAACCAGGCCGTTCTCGAGACGCAGTTCCCCCATCTTCCTGGCGAGGTCCCTCTCGCCGGCAAAGGGCTGCTGGTCTGTGGTGTACTCGAGGCCGCCAGATAGGTCGTCGTCGTCCTCCTCCTCCTCGTGGCTGTTTTCCTCCTTCATGATCGACTCGGCGACGGCGTCAAGGCTGTCACAGGTGCGGATCCGCTTGACTATGGCAGGCACGTCTTCCTCGGAGGCGTTGAGGATGGCCTCGATGAGGATCTGGAGAGTGGAGCTCTGGGCCTTCATACTGTCGATCTTTTCGCGGTAGACGCCCTTGCGGCGGTGGTCCGAGTTGGGGTCATAGACACACTCGGTGCCGTAGACGCTTGCGCAGGCCGCACAGCTGGGGAGGGCGGCGTCGCACTTGGACTTGCGCCGCCGGCAGGCGATGCAGGCTGTGCTGACGCACCGGCGCTTCTGATTTGCTGCATTGTTGCCGCGCCGTGGCTTCTTATTGTTGGGGGCGGGCGTCGACGACGACGAGCTGCCGTCGCCCATGTCGGCGCCGAGACCCATGCCGTTGCGGGGCGGAGGGGGCTTCTGCGCAAAAAGCTGTTTGTCCATTGTTCTGGGGAAGGGCCCGACACGCATCCGGCCGCTCCGGGTATACAAGACCTACCTGTTCCTCGCTGGTCAGGAGGTGTCCAGGCTGACGGGCCTGCACAGGAGCGGGGCCGTATGTATGTGTTTCGTGGAGTCGCGTGCGGGTCTGGGGCAGCCGAGGCTCCTCCTTTTCTGCAGGCCGTTTTTTTTTTTTTCGCTCTTCGCTGTCTTTGTCGCGAGTGGCGTGGTCGTCGTTTGCCTTCGGACAGACAACAGCGGAAATGGCAGACGACTCCAGGATCGGCCACCGGGTGGGCAATCGCAGACGCTGTGCGATAGGAGCCCGGTGGCAGTCAGTCTGAGCAGCCCCAGCACTCGATCCAGCTGCCGACAATTCAAGATGCGGGGTCTCTGCAGGTGACGATGGATGGTACCAAGACCGGCCGACCAGTCCAGATGTCGTCACCGCCGTGGGATGGCAGCGCCTAGGAGCGGTAGAGGGGAAGATAATGAGATAATGCACGGGAAGATAAGCAGGAGCAGCCAGTTACGCCATGAATGGGCGTGGCGGGCGTGGAATTTGGCCGACAGGCGTGGCCGCTAGGCTTGGTTGGTCCCTATCTGGGGCGATGGTGACCAGGTTGCGATAGCAGCAGTGATAGCAGCAGTGATAGCAGCAACGACAATGGAGCCAATAGCGAGCGGGTGAGAGTTGGAGCAAGCCTCCGAGAGCCGTCCTATGGCACACAGTCCCCGAGTCCAGTGTGCCACCGTCCCGGGTTGGGGGATCTGGAGAGCCGAGCCGCCAAGTCGCCAAGGCTGCTGGGAAGTGTCCAAGCTAGATACTACTTGGTACCTACACAGGTGCCAGTGCCTGGTTAGATAAGACGACACCTGCGCCAGAGGGAAGAGCCAGGAAGGGAGAGGACAAACTTCAAAGTGCGCGGCAGTATTCCGCTCGCCTGGGGCGTGCAAAGAAAAAAGCCAACCTAGCCAGCACCTGGCTTCGAGCCACGGCAACGAGTTCAGCTCGGCGCAGTGAGGGGACGCGCAGAAAAAAGCAAGGATAGTAGGAGATAGGGGGCCCTGCATGGACCAACCAGCAGAGGGCTAGAAGAACGGGCGTGCGTGGTAGGGCCGATGGCGTCTGTCGCAGGACGCAAAAAGCACCGCGACTTGGATGATATCTGGATCTGGGCAGTCGATGGCTCCTGGATAGGTAGACCAAACCCCCACGATCCAGAGCAGCAGGCGCGCGAAGTTATGTGGCTGAAGGGTTCAAGAAGGACAAGGAGCTGCAAGGGGCCACGCAGCGGGCAAGCGCTCGAATGCAATCCAATCCAGTCTCCAGTCCAGTCCAATCGGAATCGCCCAGGCCTCGAGACTGCTAGCGCCGGCTGGGAACAACCGACGAGGGGAAAAAAACAAAATAGGGGATTGGAGATGATGTGATCCGGGGGGGGGGCACGCGATATTTCCAGTATTGTATTTCGAATGAGTTGCAGCGCACTGGTCCGCCCTGGCCGGTCTGCTTTCAACCATACATGAGACCTGGAATTACTCAACAGTAACATGGATCCGGCCTAGCGCATCCCCACATCTCTCAGGCCGCCCACCATGCGCCCCCATCTTTCATCTTTGGACGGCCCCAGCCCGGCCTGCCCCGGCATCGCCTCGGCCCAACCAGCACTTTAGACCGAGCCGCACTGCTCCCTGGACTTTTCTCGCTCGACAGCACAGTACCGGCAGGTCCAACCAAGACCCTCTCCAAGGTGGTACGTACGTATTGTCTCTCACACATCGAATTAATTCATCTCGTCCACCATCTGGCTCGCCACCACCAATCGCACCACGACCCTAAAATCTAAAAATGCGGGTGAATATCCGGGGAAATACCAAGGAAATACCAAAAAGGGAAGCCCGGCCGCAGCTACCGAGACGTCGCACGGCAGCGCCCGGCACGGGAATAACGACGTCCGGCTGCACCCCTCGAACGCAATACGTCTTGGTTGGCGGAGGGAACAAGATCTGCACGGGTTAGTACATATATAGGCAAGCTACGTACATGCCTACGCACATACACGGGTTGGGCGGGCTTGGGCGTTTTTTATGCCAGCGAAGCTTGATTCCCGCCGAGAATGCTGACATGCAGAGGATCCCTAGATCCATCCATCCCGTTCTTTTTGTTTATTTTAATTTCAACCAACGATTACTACACGCCCCTCACAAAGCGAGCGCTGACAAGCCC